TATATATATCCTTCTAAAAAGTATATATATATATGGGATTTTCTGCGGTAAGGGCAACCAAAAGAAAATTGCTCTGTAGACGAGACATTAGTAACGCACTTTGGGTGTTTTTGTCTCTCATTACCCCAAAATTGGACCGGCTCGTTGTTTTGGCTGCTTTAAAACGCAGCACAATGAAGGCCAAAAATTGAATTCTGCATCTCCCATTCCTCCAACAAAATCTCTTCCACAGCAACGTCTGTGCAAGTACGTGTCGATATGTCTTATCGATATGTGAATTGAAGTTGGTCATTTTGAAAGTGGATCTTATAGGCTCTTTCTCCAAAATGTCAGTTCAAAGGCATCATCACAAAGGCAGAAATGATCTTTGCCAAAGGCGCTGTCCCATCCCCCAATACTGGGACATGGCTGTTGGACCTTCTACAAATAGTCATCCATTTACTGCGTTTTTTCTTTGATCTCACAGTCGTCTGAAACATTGGTCGATCCCATCATATTCCCACGGGAAGCTAGTGGAAAACAGCAAGAAAATTCAGCACTATATTTATCTCAAACTGGACTATTTGCCAACATGTGTTACAGTGCAGCCAGAAAGATGAGGTCACAAACGTGCCTCGCTGCTCTGAATGCACTATGTTTTGCCTGACAAATGATCTCTAAGTGGTGAGAATGAGAGCATACAGTACCCCCCAAAATTTAAGTAACCCCAAAATGCACTCCTGTAGTGCATCGAGATAGGCGTGACCTGATTTACATGTTTTGGGAGATACAAGCAGTCATTTACTTGCGAGCACCAACTTGAGATCTGAGTGCTGTATGGTGGCAGGGCTGTCAACTTAACTTGCTTCACACCAAGCAGCCCTTTGTCAACGAGACAGCAATTCTTCAAACATATAACAGAGAATTACACTTTGTTTATTTAAAACAACCGCACACTGGAGGCACCACTGTACAAATTTCCTCGGTGTGATATTCAATTCCAGAAGTGCAGAGAAAGGTCTGGCCGCATCAAGCATCAGCCCTCCCCACCCCTGAAAAAGTATTTTAGGCTTTCTCATTGGTTCGCCTGAGGAGATCACTTCAGCCCTGCTTGCAAATGTGTGTGTGTGTGTTTTTTTTTTTTTATGTTGTTGGGAGACTTTTGTTGTTGTTATTCATTTTCTCATAGGCCAGATCATTTTGACGTAAAATAAGATGAGCGTTTTTGCCAGTCAAGAGGAGCCGAATCAATGCGGAGCCACTGAGGCATTAGTGCTTGGAGCCTAGGAGTCATTATGGCCCATTTAGAGGATCAGGGCTCCCTAAAACAACTTGTCCACATTTCTTGACTTGACTTTTGCATGGAGTCATGAGGTTGCGGGCCGGTGTCAACTAGTTCTGCCTGCTTGAATCTGGACATACTTTCATTCTCGGTCATCCCCACACGGCCGTGACGGATGAGAGCTTGCAACATCATCTGCGGCCAACTGCATTGGCTTTAGGAGAAGGAACCGTGAATCACAAAACATCACGCTGTGTCCGTCTCACGCGTTGTCCTTTCGAGACGTTCACATATGCACAGAAAAACTTCACGTGAGGACAAGCGCAATCTGAAATTCCTTTGAGAGCGCAATCCTTACCATGTACTCACCCCGCCCTAATAGACCCTTGCAGACTGGCTTATCCTCACACACACCCGCAAACACGCACGCCTTGATCAGACGCAGTTTATTTGAAGGAACCGAAAGAAGGCCTTCCTCATCTGTCCTTTCTTGCAGTAGAAGGAATGCAAGGAACGCGGACTGCAAGTGAGCTTGTCTGCTTGGTGTATTCATGCATTTCCTCGTGACCTTGTTTGCTCATTTAGTTTTCAGTCTTCTAAATGGCCTCGCATTTGTCAAAAGCTTGTGTAATAATATTTGAGCAATTAGCTTCGAAACATAAGCACGTTGCTTTGAATAACACTCCACCTGAACTTCAAAGATGCTCGAGTGTAGGTCACCAGTTTGCAAGCCATGAAAATACCAATTATTTCTTTCTTATTGACTTTTGAAATAAATTTTGGACTCACTGCAACATTGATGCTAAACTTGAAGTTTGGAAGGACATCACCAGACACTGGAATTCTATTGCTGCTCTGCCAGGCCTCTACTGCAGCTGTCTTCAGTTCCTGCTTGTTCTTGGGATATTTTCTCTTCACTTTTGTCTTCAAATGAACTCTCTTCAAGTAAAATGAGTGTTCAGTCAGATTCAGGTCAGGTGATTGGCGTGGTCATTGCAAAACACTCCATTTCTTTGCCTTCAAAAACTCTGTCTTTGGGACATTGGCATAATAACCTTGCCAAACTCACAATTCGTCTTTCTGATTTTGTCAGCAATCACATCATCAATAACTACAAGGGAACCGCTAGCAGTGGCAGCCATACATGCCCAGCTGAGTAGCCAATTGTACCACTACTTTTGGACCCTTCAAAACTATTGCAGTTTACACCGTTCAACTGAATTGGAAGTAAATCCCCTCAGATTAAAAAACTGAGATCCTGCAGTTAAAGCACATCTTGTTCCTCTTGTTTCAAATCCATGGTGGAACATAAGGAGTGTGTCCATGTCACAATATGTATTTAGCTGACTGTATCATACATGAAATTATTTGGTACTGTATACTGTTCTGTTAAGCACCCAGCGTAGGCATCAATGCTGTAGCGATGCACGACACAGGAAAGGGCGATAATACAACACATGTGGGAATAATATATTGAGAGTATTACTTAGCTCATTTGTTGGAGCTATTTTAGCTTTTGTACATGATCTTATGTGCGTATCCCCATTTGTTTATTTTTGAACCATTAGCTCAGCAAAGTTCTTTGTGATGATTTACTGCACGGCGCATACATTGTCTGCAGTGGGTGCATGATTATGAAAATCAAAGCAGAAATATCTTCAGGATCTCTCCAACTCGCTCTAGCCAGATTGCTACAAGCTTCCCTGCCGTGTATTTTTAATTGTTTTTGACCTTTCCCCGAGCTCGCCTCTCCTTTGCTCATCATCAGCTTTGTCATTGTTTCCATTAGTTCACACACTTCCTTTCCTGTTCTGGCTCTGACAATGTGACTCCTCTTCGGGGCCGTCTGGTGAGAGCCGGTTTCAACAAAGTGCTGAGTGAAATCTCTAAATTTTCCACTGAAACTATGATGTGACGGCCATCGGCATCAAGTTTCGATGGCGTAAGATTCGTTAACCGACGGTCTCCAAGTGACTCAGGCTCGGAATGAGGAAGAGGTCAGTTGGAGGCATGAAAAGGAAGATGAAGAGAGGCAGATGACTGAGTGCTCCTTCTCTCAGTTCCGATAAAAAGCATTGAATGGGTGTCTTTTACAGAGTCACGACTCAGATGGATACAAGTCACATTTACAGACCATAATTTGGAAAGTAATGCTTGTAAATCTTTTGGATGTTTGAAATGCACTTCCTGAAATGAAGAAAAATAACATACAAGTTGAGAATGTATGCAGTTCAGGTCAGACTTTGTGTCTCTACTCACATCTGTTTTCATAAGCGGTCCCATCTTTTCATATCCGCGTGACTCGGAATGCCTTCCCCTTTAATCTTATCATCTGAATTTATAGACTGCCTAAACTCACATCATTTATAGCAACTTCAAAAAAGCCTTGCAATTCTTGGATCATAATGTATTCCCAAAAGGAGAGCACAAATGGATAGTCAAGTAAAAAGTAAAGATAAGAAAGATAAGAAAACCTTGATTTGTCTCACAATGGAGAAAATCCCAATTTACAAAAAAAAGTATACACATACATATAAATATAAAATATTACCTTCTAAAACACGTTTTAAAAGGTAAAAGTCTGTTTTATTTTTTTTATGTGATGACTCACGTCATACGTTCACTCCGACTGACACTTTAGTTAGCACACAGCAAAGATCCAACTACCCTGGGTGGAGCCTTTCTGCACCGTAACTTATTGTTGTTCCAATTGATCATTTTCGTTACACAAAAGTGATGAAGGCACTCAGACGTGCGGCATGAGTCGCCCATTAAAACTAGAGCGTATTCGTTCACATCAGTGGTCATCCGACACAAGTGTGTCACTCACTTGTTACTAGGTACATATCTACCACTACCTGTGGTTAGCTAGCTAGCTATGCCTACAGCCCAAAGAGCGTTTTCCCTTGATGCCATCATTTACAAAATATGATATATTTGAATTCTCAAGCAAGGGGTTGATGTGGCCCATCCGGCAGCTGAAAGGAGCCCTAGAAGACTGTTAGTTTGCAAGCTAGTGGGTGGTTAGCACCTCTTGTCGATATATTTTCATGGCTCGAACAGGGATGGGAAGAAAGATACATTTCATAAAGTTGCTGGAGAAAGTATCCTCCCTATTCAGAGGGGCCTGGTTTCATGTCGATGGCATGTAAGAGAGGAACTTGCATTTTGCACCCTTTTGAAGCCTGATCAAATATATTTGTTTTGTTTGGGGTTTTTGTTCATTACTCAAATTTGGCAGGCTTGTTAACTACTCTGGGGTGTGTTAAATTCAGACAACATTCCTTTTCACTTTATCGGGATTTAAGTACAATAAAATTGGATTTTCTTTGGAATGCCTTCCCCTTTAATCTTATCATCTGAATTTATAGACTGCCTAAACTCACATCATTTATAGCAACTTCAAAAAAGCCTTGCAATTCTTGGATCATAATGTATTCCCAAAAGGAGAGCACAAATGGATAGTCAAGTAAAAAGTAAAGATAAGAAAGATAAGAAAACCTTGATTTGTCTCACAATGGAGAAAATCCCAATTTACAAAAAAAAGTATACACATACATATAAATATAAAATATTACCTTCTAAAACACGTTTTAAAAGGTAAAAGTCTGTTTTATTTTTTTTATGTGATGACTCACGTCATATGTTCACTCCGACTGACACTTTAGTTAGCACACAGCAAAGATCCAACTACCCTGGGTGGAGCCTTTCTGCACCGTAACTTATTGTTGTTCCAATTGATCATTTTCGTTACACAAAAGTGATGAAGGCAC